TTAAGTATTATACTATTAGTTTTTCTTTCTTATAACACTTTCTTGCCATTAGTAAAAAAAAGGTGTTTTTTGACTTTTTTAGGTCACAGGAAGCCAAGTTTTTGTTTAAAAATGAATATAAACAAGGGAAAGGGTTTGAAAGTATCTCTTTAAGTAGAACTTCAAGTTGATTTAAGGATAGTATTAAGACTTTATTGCCAAAGAAATAAAAATTTTCTTGCGAACATCTTTTTTGTGTATAGTCAGAGGATCAACGAAAAGAGTTTTTAAAGATTATTTAGTTAATTATTAGATAAGATTGTATATATAATATAGCTTCTTATAATTAAACTAAAAGACTTTTCAGTAAAATTGTAGTTAGTTATTAAAAATAAGCTAATAGATAATAAGCTATTGAGATATAATAGGTAATTATCTAATTTATCATATTCTAATAATTTGATAGTATTAATAATTGAGTTTATATTAAGATTATTGGTAATAATATTGATACTGATAAGCTTTGTTGCATTGTTTATAGTATAAAATAGATAATATTTTTCTTCTATTTTGAAGTTTTTAAAGTCTTATCTTTTATGACTACCAGTTTACATATACTATTGAAGTATCTACTTTGTGTTGAGTAACTATAAAGTTTTTGTTATAAATTATATATTTATATATATTGAAAGGTGGAAATTGTTTGATATTAAATTATTTATATATTGACATATCTAGTTTTTTTTATTTAAAAATAATTTTTTTATAGTTTTTATTTTATTTTATTTTTTAAAAAACCAGTATTTATTTGCTAAATAAAGATAATAGTTTATTTAAAATAATTAAAACAAATAGAGAATATTCTTATAATACATTTTATAAAGAGCTTTTTTATTTAAATAATTGTTTAGTTAATTTTGAATATTTAAAAACAGTATTATAGAAAAGACCAATCACCATAAAAATGTTTATTATTATATTGATTTGTGTATAACTCCACTTTTTATTTTTTTTTTATAAAAATTTTGGTTTTTAAAAAAATTAAATAGAAAAAAGTATATATTTATATTTTAATAATTTTAACTTTGTTATTAAAAATATATAATTTTGTTTTTATAAGTAAAAATTATTTTTTATTTAAGAAAGTTTTATATATATTTATTATACTGTATATATATATATTATATATTTATTCTTTTTAGTATTTTATAATCAATCAATAATTTTTTAAGTTTTATAATTAAGAAGTATTTAAAGTATTTTATTTTATTTTTTTAATAAAATTAATTTCAAAAAAATTTTATATTATATTTTTTTGATATAGTTTCTAAAATAATATTTTTTATTTTGATCTTTCATTAAACTATTTAAATTAATCATTTATTTTTTAATATTTTTTGATAATACTATTATATTATATTTATTTTTTAATCTTGGTTTTTTTAATTATTATATATTTGATATTCTTATTTTTAACATTAATTAGATTCAGTACTATTTGATTTTTATTTTCTATTTATTAACAAGTTTAATATTTTTTAAAACTTATTTTTTAAATAATAATATATATAATATAATTTTTAAATTAGTGTTTATTCTATTTGATATTTTTATAATATAGATAATTATATATAGTATATTGATAAAAAATATTTGAAATAGTATATAATATATCTAGTTAATATTTAATTATTAAATATTATGTTAATAATTTGGTAATATTTAGACAAGATGTTATTATTATAGTGAAAGATTTTGTTTTTCATATTTTGTTTAAATTATTCTTAATTATTAATAATTTATTATATATATATATTTCTTGAAATAAATTCAATAATCAGTTATTGTTATACTTAATTATTTTTTTATTTGTTAATGTTAGAAATGAAATCTCAAATATTAATAGATATTTATTATTTTTAAGTACTTTTGATTTTAAAAAAAGGCTTTGCAAGTAAATTAGCTTTAAACTTTATTTTGTTTATAACAATGAATTCTTTTTTTTACAATAGTTTTTTGTTAGTTTTTTGTAAGAATATATATTCACTTTCTATTTGAAAAAAAAAATTTTTTTTATCTATTATTGATTGAATGGTATTTTTTAAAAAATTTTTTTCTGTTGTTCTATATTTGTGAATTGTTAATCACAATAATAATTTAGATTATAATATTAAAAATAAAGTTTAATCAATAAATTAATTTATTATACTATAAATATAAATAAAAAAAAAAAACTTCAATCCATTTTTTAATTTTTAAAAAAGTCAAAAGATTCATAGACCATTGACACTAGAAAAATATAAATCGTATACTGCCTTTCAAGTTTATTTGATATCCTTTTCTGTATATGCACTTTATAAAATAGATTATTTAATAATTTAATAAATCTCATTTATGCGGTAAATATTTTTAACGCTATTTTTGCCACAGCGTATTAAAGTTTAACTCGTTTTTTTTTTTGCTCTTATAAAAATTCTGTTGTTAAAAATTTATTAATTTTCACTTTTATAAGCTATATCATAACAAGATATATACTGTAATAAGCTTGGTTTTTTTTATATTTTAAATTACGATTTAAGGTTAATGACTAACGCAGTAATTCAGATGATAGCTCTTTTGAATCCAAGGGTGTAAAATGTGCTAACTATAAGAGGCGGGGAAAATTTATTATTATTATCATTATTATTATTTTATTAAACGTTGAAAAGTTTGAACGTCATTTTCAACCTATAAAATACAGTATTTAAAATGATTATACATCAAATAAGAAAATAAACAGGTATGTTCCTGGAAGTTTTGTAGGATGTTAAATCCTCATTTTCCATAAAATTCAGTGGGAAAACAACCAAATGACCTCTGATCCTAGACAACCCGTTCATGGGTTCTTTCTCTAAAACGCTTGAATTGCCGCCGGAGAAAAAAGCATCAAATTCATCCCAATCGGTGACTAGATATATATTAAAAAAAAAACGCAAATAAAATTTACTTTTTAGTATTATATAGGGATAGAAATTCATCGTGAACATGTTTACCAGAATTATCAGGAACACAACGAAAAATTTTACGGAAGATGGTGGTATTGGTATTGGCAATGCGTAGCCAATAATCATAGTAAAACTCGTCGGAGGCAGGATCTTCTACAATTCGATCCGCATAACTGAGCTTTTTAAGATTGAAATTATCTTCTTCAATTGAAGACGGGAGGGAATCATAGTTTGATGTTCCATGATCATCTTCAATTTTCAATCCAAGGTGTTCCTTGAAAATTTCGCGACGAAGTGTCGCAGAAAATTTTCCTGCTTCCCACTGAAATATAAAATGACTTTAATAATTGAAGCAAATATTATCGAAGTTAAACATCAAGATAAGGCTATTTAACTTTCATGCCATCCATTTTTGATTCTATGTAACTTCTATCTTCGATAATGGCGGCGACTTCGGAGTCGCGATCTCCATTCAACGATCGATCCATTAAATTGGCTTGATTTAAAAAAACAAAATGAAAATTAATAATTCACCGTTGCAATAATCAATGCGAAGAAAAAAAAATACCCGATCCGATTATGACAATTCTATCATCTACAATCAAAAGTTTAGATTGGATTGAAACCTCTGTAGTGCAGGTGCCAGTTTCGTTATGCGCTCGAAGTGTGTAGAAGCTGATATATCTTTCGGGGGTATCACATCCAGCCTTTTTGATTCGGTTTATTATAGAATTTTTGTTGCGGCAAATTGACTGATACTGGTAGTGCATAGAGAGTCTATTTTGTGTTTTGTTGTTTCATTAGAAGTAAACGCAAGCTTGTAAAATTTAAAGATCCTTCAATAGGTATGTACGTACTTCGTAAGCATGTTCTCATATGTATATTTTTTAATTTCATCAGAAGCGGCTGGAATTAACTGCAGAGTGATGATAATCCTGAATTTTTCATCGTTCTTGTAGGCCTGAACAACTCTTTCGACGATTGCCTGTAAATTGACAACACTACTTAATATCATCAATTAATCAATATTGGGCACATAATAATGACCTTTCCGATAAGATTTTTGATCTGGTAATCTTCGGTTTCTTTTGTTGCTGTAACTATGTAAGAAATACTGTAAATGGTTTTCGTATGAAATATTTGAAGTCTGATTATATTTAAGACAAAAACACCTACTAAAGAATTGATTCTCAATGTATACAAAATATTTCGCTTTCTTAATTGTGTCAATATAAGCATCTTGAATCGAACGCTAATAATATCATAACAATAAAGAGTCATTAATAATGCGTTTCTTGGGCATCCAAGATGAATACCTCTGATTCGGGAATTCCATGGCTCCATGTAGAACTGCTTCTCAATATTTGAACAGAGCATGAACCACTTCTTTTCGTTTGCGCGCCATCCTCAAATTTATATTGGCATTGATTTTTATTAAAGACTAACGATGGGAATTCTTCTTTTTTATCATATAATTTCTTAATATGGTTCCATTTTTCAATAAAATTTCGTGCTAGGTCAAGTGACGGTTCTCCGATCTAATTATTTAATTACTCGTGTTATATTTAGGCGGCGACAATTAACCAAAATATGTAAAGGTCTTACAAATCCAATCGATGTGCCGTGACATGGAATGTTGGTCAAATTAGAAAGTTTATGTGTACTGGTGTCGTAATGCTCTTCGCACAAATCCAACCCGCCAATAAAGGAAATACGACGATCGATGACGATTATTCTCTAAAGAATACGTAATACGTATGTAAAAATCATTATGATACATATTTAAAAAATAGATGAAAGAATGAAAGAAGAATGTGGTCACCTCGTGGAGCTGAATTTAATAATAAAAGCCATCAGTATTTAATATATGAGGAAAAAACTCGTACCATATTCTGTAAACGCAGTTACCGCCCAGTGAAAGAAGTCATCTTTGGGGTGCCTTTGAACTACGTGGAAATGTAATTAAGTTACCTCAGAAACTAACAAGATAAGTACTTAATACTTTACCATAGATGTTTTTATGCAACTTGCGCAATAGATTTTTACTACGTTTAGAATTTAAATCTAAAAGAAGGGATCCATTGTAAATCACGAGATAAATCTTGATTCCCGCTTCAGCCTTCTTCTTAAGAAGCGCATCGAGACGATACTCATAATCAGGAGGTCTTCGAAAATGCTGAAAATAATAAATTAAATTAAAAAAAACATACCATACCATATGCTTTTTTAACCCATTGATCTGACTTACTAATTCTGGATTGAGAAGCCAACTTTCAATAAAAATTTCCTCTTTGGCAGCCATGAGGGCCTCTGAGACAGCATAGAAATAGTTCCTTCCGTCGATGTACCATTTTACTTTTACATTTTCTCTGACCTGCGACGAAGATCCATGCCTGAAAAAACTCTCTGCTTCACTTGAAGTTTGATCTTCATGAATAGAAGGAATACCAACGACATGTTCTGTAACAAAGCGAACAGCATCCTTAAAGATACTCATCCGAATAATAATATTTATGACGAATTGTGAAAGGTTAGTTGTGGGCGCGATACTGAAATAAGAAGATAAATTTGAATAATAAAAAAAATCAAATATACTGTAATTCTGGGACACAGGCACGGGAACCACGTGCATGTATTTTATCGCTTTTGAGAAATGATTATTTCACGTTAAATAAAGGATAGAGAACATAAAAAAAGGTTTATGAAAAGACGAAGAAGATAATGTGCATGATTTAACATGGCTTATGAGATTATAAGCCATGCGGGCCGTTACCGTTGAAAATGTAAAATAAATGTTGTTTTTTAGTCATCGTATTAGTGGCTTTGGGACGGAAGAAAACCCGCAAGCCGCCTTGTGAAGCCACCGATACACGCACGTGAATTTTATATATAGATCGTGATATTTAAAATTCCTTTAATAAAACAAAACTTGTAGGATGGATACTAAAATAGAGATTTCGGAAAATATTCCTCACAATGGCAAAGAAATTACTAAGATTGTATGTTCTCCGAAATTAAACTATGTTGCAACTTGGAGCGATTATGACAAATCTGCCTTCGCATACCATATCACCAGAGGACGATCGCAACCACAGTTCGAGGATTTTTTCAGTATTAGTGAACTGGGAGAAGATTTTTCGGAAGCGGAGCTATCGGATATATCGGATTTCGGTGATATTGTTTTGAAAACAAAACATGACGCAGGTTAATATAAACGCATACTTATGCAAACGTGGTGGTAACATTGGCCTAACTTCTGAATTTGCAAATTAGTACTAGTTAACCTAATTAGTAAGAGAAAGTCTTTACTGAAAACCTCCGACGATAAGGCCGAAATAATCAGAAGCACATTTTTCTCTGGTGATGATTATTATGAATTTTATGTCATCATCAAAACTGATCATTTTATCACTACCGGTTACTTATTCTCAATATCAGATGCAAAATGCAAAAAAGAGTTCATTATTTCAAGCTGCGACAATGATAGCATTAAGCTTGACATTAGAGGAAAAATTTTTGTATATAACCGTGTTATACATATTCTTATGCAATGGGACATCCATACATTGAGTCTTGAGAAACAGTGGGTCTTAAAATGGGATTTCTCCCCGCTCAAATTAAACATTGCCACGAACGGAGGCTACAGTAATTACACCCTTTTTTCCATTTGGAAATACAAGAGCATATATGTATATTCGATGGAAACGCAGCTTATAGTGGCATCCTGTAGGTGCAATTTATTGGTTTCATTTTTTGAATTCGTTTTTTCTGATTTACGCATTCTTTGCTTTTTACCAGGTTCCATTGATGGGGATGTAAAAGAATGTCTCTTTCTTACATCAGACATTGGAGAACGTTTACTCGTCATATGCCATAAGGAATGGAAAACTCATTTTTATTTATTGGATCCTTATACCCTCAAAAACCCAGTAGATGCGAGAAAATTAATAATATCCGAATCCTGCACAGATCCCAGCGAAGAATTAGACTGGCCGTACATAATTAATGATAATAGATATTTTTACATTCGTGAAGGACAATTAAGCATTAGAAAATTGGTTGGAGGAAATTGGATCGAATATTTATGGAACAACCTTGAGGACCCTAACAAAGTTAGCGTGCATTCACTCGAGAAGAAGCACGAAAAACTAATTCATAATCTATTATTGGTATTAGATGACGGTAATCCACAATTTATCAGTCAATCAGATACCTACAGGGGAACTTCATGTCAATGGGATGTCGAATTTGCAGCCGACAGGATTATACTCAGCGCAGCAAAATATATCAACCAAGAGTGGATTCGAATTGAAGAGAGTCGTAATGCGTATTTGATAAAACCCGAGTGCGTCAATATATGTGAGACAAGCAAATATGTAATTAAGATCAAAATTATAGAGGAGAAGGAGTCGGATGACTTGTTAATTATTACTTGTAGCGGAATATTTATTTGGACTATCAATTCGGAAGAAGAAATACAATTGCGTTATTTTTGGAAGCCTACACACAAGGATGAGGAAGAAAGTATTTTTCGTTTTGAACTCACGCCAGACCCTTTTGTAATCGTTACCGAAAAATACGATCATAAAGTTCAAGGCGATTTGGAATTATCTGAAGATTTCAAGGATCCATTTAAAACAAGTCTTCACGGAAAAGCCATAATGAAGGAGTTATTGAATTCGAATAAGACTGAACTTATAGAGAAGCTGCTAGACTCGCTCGTTCAATCCACCATTGTGAACGGTGAGATCTCAAATATTCAACTATTAAATATTGTTGCCGAAAATTTTGTCGAGCTATCACAAAATTATCCCTACGTTACCAACAAGTTTTTGGCCCAGGTGGCTTTTTTTATACCCGGAGATAGTCCCTTGTCTGAAATAGTTGAACACAATTCCATTTCTAAACACCGCCAACACTTTGGAGAATACATAAGTCTTTATTCATTTAATTCGTTAAATAGATTCATCTTCTTTCTACGCAAAAAACTTATTTCAGAGTTTCTAAGAAAATTCAGACGAAAATCTTCGCAAGTAGAGGACAAAAAATCAACAATAAAACTTGTTTTCCCCTTGCCTGGGTTCACTTGTTATCCCTCTAAATATGTGACTCTGAAAGAGTTGATCGTTCCGCAATCCAATGGCTTCACTGAATATGATAATCTTGACTTGTATAAATGGTGGAATGGAGAAGCATTACTAGATTTCAAGTGGAACACATATGGAAGAAGATATTATTTGATTATCTGGTTCATTTACACGATTTTTTTTGCATGTTTTGCAACGGCAGTAACTCTATCAAGTCAAATTTCTTGGATTACCTTGAGAAATCTCCTGGCTGTGACAATCGTACTTGGATTGTGGCACCTTATCTTTGAAATTAGACAATTCATCTTTGACAAGGAAAGATATATTACCAGTCCATGGAATTACTTCGGTGAAAATTATTTACTGTCATTACGAAAAAATAAAAAATGATCCCTGTTCATCTTAATTTTTTTGCTATTCAGATCTAGGTGCATTCCTTTTTCCAATGGCTAGTTGCATAATATGGTTTAAATACGGTTCGATTCCACTATGGTTAACCGCCATTTCAACATTAATGCTCGAGCTCAAGTTCTTGTTTTTCTTCAGAGCCATAAGTTTTCTTGGAATTGGTGTTTACTTTTCGATGATGATAGGGGTAGCACGACAAGCATTCTCCTTTATACTCATATTAGGATTCATTGTGCTCGCATTCGCTCATTCCCTGCATCTCTTACTGAGACCAACTCTCGACTACTCTTTGACAACGTCAATTAATTCAAACGATCCGAATAATCCATGGAATTTAGCAACACGGTTTTATGCTGTTTCCTCGAATGGCACCATCGATGAATCTAATTTTATTATTGATCCTCCTGACAGCGGCACAAATATGTTTTCTACACTCTACACTTCCATATTGGCCGTATACTTGATGTTGACAGGTAGTTTCGACGACATTATAAGAATTACATGCATGCTTTTTCTAAATCTAAATTATTTACAGGTGACTCGAGTCCCATATCTTCTTGGACTTTGACCGAAAATTTCACTTTGATTATTTTACTCGTCATCTTTTCCTTCTTCACCACGATTTATTTGATTAATTTGTTTATCGGCTTGCTTGGCAATGCGATTGGTGCGACGAGCACGAACGAATCTTTCTTATATTTAAAGGCCGAGGTAGGAGCGTTCTCTAATTATAATGTCTTTTGAATGCGTATCAATCAAAATTTTTTAACCCATTTTGGTTTCTTTTTATTTTTTAACCATATTCCTAGATCTTGGCCGAAATCGAACTATTTTATATGCTGCCTTACCAGAGGAGAAAACCAAACTGGTTTCCCGAATTTTTGCAAGTATTTTCAAAATTATACTGCATTATTAATACCGAGATTGTTTTCCCTAAACATAATTACCGTCGCTTTAGCTTTTATGTTGTTGACACCATAAAAGTGAAGGATCTTATTTTTTCCATTCAAAATAATGAATATCACGATTCCAACCTTCCATACATCTCTCAAAAATTATTAAAATTGGTTCAGATTAAAGATGAACAAGCCGAAAAAGAGAAAAAAACAGAGGAACTTGAAAAGGAAAGACATCAGGAAATTGCTAGATTGAACCAAAAACTTGACGAAATAAGTAAAAGCGAAAAAAGCATACACCAAGAAATCAAGGAAATAAAGAAGAACGAAGAAGAAATTAGAAATTTGATTATGCAGTTGAGTCAAGAAATCCGGAGCGGAAGGGAAACCGTTTAGTGGGATCATATTACATATGTATAGTGATAACGTCTGTATAGTAACGTTTACGCAAAAATCTTCATTATCAAATCAACAATCATCAAAATTGCAATTATTTATTTTTTTTTCCTTGCTCATTTATGGATTTAATAATTAGTCCATTTTTAAGAACATACTGGATACAGTAAGTGTTATCAATTCTAATTTTGACATTATTACATTAATAACATGAAAATATTCTTTTTTTTTTAAAAAAAAAAAAAAAAAGTAGGAGATTTTGGATTAATTTTCATTTGAATTAATTTTTATTTATTTTTGGTTTATTTAAACTTCTATAAAACATTAATAAATATTTTATTATTATTTCATTAGTAAAACATTAATAAATTTTTTATTATTATTATTTTATTAATAAAACATTAATAAATATTTTATTATTAATTTATTCATAATTTATTGTTGAATATTTGATTAACACTTTATTAATAAAATAATAATAAAATATTTATTAATGTAATAAATTGGCAATTATTTAATAATTCATTAATAATTTAATAAAAATTAAGTGATAATTATAAATAATTTATTAAAATTTATTAATAATTCAATAAAAATTAATTAACAATTTATTAAAAATTAACAAAAATTTATTAATAATTAATCAAAAATATATTAATTATTCATCAAGAATTTATTAATAATTTAAATAATTTATTGATTATTTAGCAAAAATTTATTGACAATTTATCTTCATTTAATAAAAATTCACTAAACTTATAATGAAATTACAAATTAAAAATATATTTAAATATTGTTTTTATAATTATATATAATTAATTATTATAATAATATAAACTATATATTAATAAATAATTAAATTTTCAAGTATTATATTAATTATTATATATAAATTGTATTTTTTATTTTTTTAAAAAATTTTTTTATATATTTATTAATTATTATAAAAACTAATAGAGATATATAAGACAAATATATTATAACTAAACTAAATTATATATTGATTCACTTGTCAATGGCTTTCAATTTTTAAAAAATATTTTAATTTATAATAAGTATTGGATAAATACTTTTCTAACTTATATATCATTATCAATAGATTATTTTTGTCAAGTAATTAATTTTAAAAAACTACAAAGAAAAAATAAAAATAAAGAAAAAAGAAATATAAAAAATATACAACTGTGTTACATAAAAATAAAAAGAAAAAAAAATAAATGTATCACATATTTTTCAAAAGACTTTTACTAGAAACATTTTTTTATTAAAAATCAACTTTTTTAAAATATTCTTCTTTTTTCTAATTGTCTAATAAATATATTTATCTATAATTTTAAAATACTTATTATCTATTTAGATCTAGTATCTTATTTGATACTTCTTTTATTTATTTATTTATTTTTTTTTTTAACCTGCTATCAGGTTAGTTATGTATGCTTTATTAAACATAATGTAGGCTATACTATTTACAATGTCGCTAAAGCTAGAACACTAACCAACTTACTCGTCTTAGTTTATTATCAAACTCTAAGTGCAACTTTGAGAGTGATTTGTCACTCTGTTTATAGTTTGGGTAAAAACCCTTCTACTATAAACATCATTGCCTGCAGTCACTACTGCAGATCACAGGCCAAAGT